CGCCGGTTCAATTTAAATAGTGATTTTATTCGACCTATGTTTACAATTGAGTATATATTTTTTATTTATATTAATATAGAAAAATATAATGTTTAAAAATTGGCACCTTAGCTTTCAAAACTGCTTCCCTCATTTCTACATAGGCACCTAATGAAACCATTTTTAGAAAATTTGAGTTTTAACGGCTATACAAAAAAACGCTTTAACGGCAGGTCGTAGTACGTTACAGATGTTACGTTTACCAGTAACGTGTAACGTAAGAGCGACTGAAATTAAGTTGGCAGCACGCTAAGATATTTCTGCAAATGGAACTTTGCAGATGGAGCAAAACAGCTCCTCCGCCGAGTGGTCGTCTTCGAAATGCTGCATCACTTTCCCAATCTGGTGGAATATTGCCTTGCAATAATAGCATGCGTAAACTAAAACAAAATTGGTGTTATAAATATGTAATTTAATTTATTTTAATTATTTTACCTGATGGCTCATTGATCTCCGGAGATGCGAAACCCGGCGATGCGATGCAAGGGGGTGGGATCTCCGGGACCAGGTATAAAATCGATGGTAGAACCACGGACTTAGGCACCCGGAGACCCCTTAAATCGATTTTTTTAAATATTTTGGGCACCGGTACAATTATAGTTGGAACGTTTGGAGCTATAGTTTCCAACTGCGGAACGTCGACCGAACATGAACGCGGGTTCCAGCCCGGTGGTTCCGGAATCGCTTTATAAATTGTATAATTGTCCGGTGGTTGATAATCCATGTTTTGCGGTGGTCGTCTTCGAAATGCTGCATCACTTTCCCAATCTGGTGGAATATTGCCTTGCAATAATAGCATGCGTAAACTAAAACAAAATTTGTGTTATAAATATGTAATTTAATTCAATTTAATTATTTTACCTGATGGCTCATTGATCTCCGGAGATGCGAAACCCGGGGATGCGATCTCCGGAGATGCGGTGCAAGGGGGTGGGATCTCCGGGACCAGGTCCAAAATCGATGGTAGAACCACGGACTTAGGCACCCGGAGACCCCTTAAATCGATTTTTTTTTTAATATTTTGGGCACCGGTACAATTAGTTGGAACGTTTGGAGCTCTAGTTTGCAACTGCGGAACGTCGACCGAACATGAACGCGGGTTCCAGCCCGGTGGTTCCGGAATCGCTTTATAAATTGTTTTCCAGTCCGGTGGTTGATAATCCATGCTTGGCGGTGGTTGATCTTCCATGTGCGGAATGTTTTGCGGTTTTTACCAAAAATGTCGATAACGATAGGCAAAGAGGCCAGTGCTGTGAAATGTAAAAATATTTAACGATCGCACCGATCTGATTATATAACGATCGTCTAAAATAATCAAAGCCTATTTGAATGCGCAAAATGCGTATGGCGACGGAGCCGTCAAACATTGGGAAATCACACGCCAAGTGACTGAGCGGAAACTGCTTTCGCTCTGCTGCAGGATGTTGGAGAGAATTCTACCTGGTTTTCACTGTCGGTTCTTCACAGCATCTCTCGTCTAAATTTCTGGGGATATTCTGTGCGATCGATTTGTCATGCCTTGCGTCCTCATTTTGGGTTTTTTAAACATTTTATTTAATCGCACTTCTTTAGAAGTCAATAAGGAATTATAAATATTTGAAAATTTTAGGGTTTTTACACTTTTATACTGATAGCATGATTCCGAGAATCTAATCAAATTATGTATGTGTATACCCAAAGACAGATTAAGATTATTAATAATTAATTAATTTTCGCACTGATTATTTTTTTGATTCAATTACTATCACTTCCAGGGGTTTTCTGTGTTTGTCATCTTATTTTGGGGACAGCATGAATTAGATTTCTTTATAAATTTAGAATTCACCAATTGCGCAGCATTTTTAGTGCTAAACTATGAGGATACTTCCTTTTAGAAATCTTTCGAAATAAATAAGAGGAAGTAGAATTTTACATACATGTGTATAAATGTACAAAATTAGTTAAAATTCTACGTGTATGTACTTTTCAGGGGTTTTCTGCGCTGGTCATTTCCTGTGGGTTTTTTTCGCCTTAATTTTTTGAAGTATGCATTAGGTGAATTCTTCGAATTTTTTGTTAGTGCTATGTGATGTGATAAACACACTAAAAAAGTATTCCTTCTGAATTTTAGCGTCAGGCACTTTCTCCAAATTTCAATTTTTTTCAAAAATTAAATTGTAAAGATCTTTTTGTTCAAAAACGGTTGTTGGGGGTGTCTTTTCCAACCAAAGACGGTTGGTTTTGTACATTGATGTTCCGTACTATAACGGAAATAGTTTCTGAGAGACCCCTGAGTAGGACTATGATTGGTAAAGATAAAGGGAGGTTATCTGGAATAATTGCGATATAATTTTTAAATGACACCAAAATATGTATATTATATTTATTGTGATGGGTTTTCTCAAAATTATTTTAATAAGCAAAACATTCATAATTGACATTTAAGACTTGGATTAAAAAAAATTAATTATAAATTGAAAATGGAAAAGTAAAAGTATGGATTTTGGTTATGGCTAACTTAAATTTTTGAATATAATTATCCGTTTATGTAATAGAAAAAACGATGAAAAGCTATTTTAGCGCCGGTTCAAGTTAATTAGTGATTTTAATCGACCTATGTTTACTATTGAGTATATATTTTTTTATTTATATTAATATAATTTTATAATTTTAATAATATTTTTTTATTTATATTAACATAAAAAAATATAATGTTTAAAAATTAACACCTTAGCTTCCCTCATTTCTACATAGGCACCTAATGAAACCATTTTTAGAAAATTTGAATTTTAACGGCTATACAAAAAAACGCTATAACGGCAGGTCGTAGTACGTTACAGATGTTACGTTTACCAGTAACGTGTAACGTAAGAGCGACTGAAATTAAGTTGGCAGCACGCTAAGATATTTCTGCAAATGGAACTTTGCAAATGGAGCAAACAGCTCCTCCGCCGAGTGGTCGTCTTCGAAATGCTACATAATTTTTCCAATGTGGTTGAATATTGCCTTGCAATAGTACCATGCGTAAATTAAAACAAAATTGGTGTTATAAATATGTAATTTGATTTAATTTAATTATTTTACCTGATGGCTCATTGATCTCCGGGGATGCGATCCTCGGGGATGCGATCCCCGGGGATGCGATGCAAGGGGGTGGGATCTCCGGGACCAGGTCCAAAATCGATGGTAGAACCACGGACTGAGGCACCCGGAGACCCCTTAAATCTATTTTTTTAAATTGTTTGGGCACCGGTACAATTATAGGAACGTTTGGAGCTGCGTTTGGAGCTATAGTTTCCAACTGCGGAACGTCGACCGAACATGAACGCGGGTTCCAGCCCGGTGGTTCCGGAATCGCTTTATAAATTGTATAATTGTCCGGTGGTTGATAATCCATACTTGGCGGTGGTTGATCTTCCATGTGCGGAATGTTTTGCGGTTTTTGCCAAATATCGATAACGATAGGCAAAGAGGCCAGTGCTGTGAAATGTAAAAATATTTAACGATCGCACCTGTCTGATTATTTAACAATCGTCTAAAGTAATCAAAGCCTATTTGAATGGGTGAAATGCGTATGGCTCCGGAGCCGTCAAACATTGGGAAATCACCCGCTGAAGTGACTGAGCGGAAACTGCTTTTGTCTGTCCGTATGAACGCTGAGATCTCGGAAACTACAAAAGCTAGAAGGTTGAGATTTTCCACACATATTATAGGACCTCCTACGCAGCGCAAGGTTATTTCAACCGAGCGCCCCGCACCCTTTAACGCCCACAATCGCCCACTAACGATTTTAAAATGTGTCTGGCGCCCACACCTTTAAAGATTTCCAAAAAGTATAAATGCCATTTTGTTGTGTATATTTATACCTATCGAAATGTAGAAGACATTTTTTAAATCGGACCATTCATTTAAAAGTTATACGCAATCAAAAATTATATATCTATCTCCCTCGTACTCCCTTTAGCTGAGTTACGATTATTAGTCGGGACACCAACCCGACACAGCGTTCGCACTCCCTTTAGCTGAGTGACGGGTATTAGATAGTCGGGACAACAACCCGACTATAGCGTTCTCTCTTGTTTGGTTTGTGATTTTTTAATTTTTTTTCTTGAGTAGTCCGCATATGGATCCTCCTGTTTTATCGTCCAGCAATAGTCCGCCAGCATACAGGGATTAGCCTTCCCCCGGTACATTCTTTCCATGCTTGCAATATCTTGATGGAATCTCTCCCCGTGTTCATCACTAACATCACCCAAATTTGGCAGAAAAAAATCCAAGTGTGAGTGTAAAAAGTGAATTTTTAATGACATATTGCATCCAAGGGCTTCATACGATTTTAGAAGTTCTTCTACTTGGTTTTTATAGTTTTCTGCCTTGTGGTTTCCAAGAAAATTTTTTACCACATTTTTGAAGGCAAGCCAATCGTTTTTTTCAAATAAATTTAACTTTTTATCGACAAAAATCCCTTCCTTAATTTTAGCATCGCTGATTTTTGGGAATTTTTCTTTTAGGTATGGGGCTGTCCATATATTACGTAATCATCTAGGGGGGGGTCCACCAAATGATTACTCTAGTGCAAATTTTTTTTTTTTGTATGAAGAATTGATTACATGGGGGGGGGGTCAAAAATCGTCGAAACTGTGATTACGTAATATATGGACAGCCCCTATGCGAACCCTTCGCCGATTTTGTCCAGAGCCTTTACGATAGATAGTCGGCACACCAACCCGACTATAGCGTTCTCTCTTGTTTTTTATTTATTTTTCAACATAGAAATGTTTAAAAATTTGCCACACATGTTTAAAAACTGTTTCCTTCATTTCTACATGAAACCATTTTTAGAAAATTTGAATTTTAACGGTATTACAACAAAAATGCTATAACGGCAGGTCGTAGTACGCAACAGCTATTACGTTTACCAGTAACGTAACAGCAATTGAAATTAAGTTGGCAGCACGATAAGATATTTTTGCACGGCTCTTTGAAAACTTTTGTAATATTTTTGATATTTACCAAATAAGAGTAAAATAAGGCATGCTAAGAAGGATGAGCACTTACAGTGGTCAAAAACTGGCGACGGTGGTCAAGGAGCTGGAGAACTTTGCGCCGATAGCATGGGCAGAGAAGTGGGACAACGTGGGACTCCTAATCGAACCGCACCGGGAGAAACAAATCCAGAGAATTCTATTAACCAACGATTTAACCGAACCCGTGATGAGCGAGGCGCTGGCGAAGGATGTGCAGCTGATAATCAGCTATCATCCGCCGATCTTCAGGCCGCTGACAAGGATTACGAGGACGAACTGGAAGGAGCGCGTGGTGGCGGCCTGTTTGGCCAACGATGTTGCTCTATATTCGCCCCACACGGCGTGGGATAAGGCGTGCGGTGGTGTCAACGACTGGCTATCGCGGGCACTATCTAAAATAATTAGCATTCGGCCCCTGGAACCGGAGTTGGGAGCTCCACCGGGCACCGGATCCGGCCGGTATATAGAAACAAAACTAGAGCTCTCCCAGGTGGTTGATTCCCTGCAGAGGCACATCGAAAACAGCGTCCACGTCGCCTTGGCTGTGGGCCACCAGCCCAAGACTATCATCCAATCCGTGGGCATTTGTGCCGGCTCTGGAGCGTCCCTGCTCAAAAATGTCCAAGCGGATCTCATCATCACCGGCGAAATGTCGCATCACGAACTTCTGGACTTCACCCACAATAACACCAGCGTGCTGCTCTGCAATCACAGCAATTCTGAAAGGGGCTTCCTCAAGGGCTTCTCTTCCAAACTGAGCGAATTACTGCAGGGAGCTTGCGAGGTTCTAGTTTCTGATGCGGACAAGGATCCTCTGGTCACCGTGGCGAAGGCCACAATTGAGGAACAAAACGTTTTTGTTGACTGCTACAAACAATAAACTAAAGCATTTAAACTGTTATAGATCAAATCTTAATGGTAAACCAATATCTTATAAATCTTATAAAAAAAACCTCAGCTTAAGGAAGTGCGAGGGAGATGGAGATATAAAACTTTGATCGCGCATAACTTTTTAATGAATGGTCCGATTTTTAAAATTCTTCTACATTTCAATAGATATTTATAAACACAATAAAACTGCGTTATTACTTTTCCGAAATCTGTAAAGGTGTGGGCGCCAGACACCTTTAAAAATCGTTTTAGGGCTACTGTGGGCGTTAGAGGGGGCGTGAACTTGCGCTGCGTAGCCCGAGTAACGGGTATAATAATCAAAAAATGTCTTATTGCAACTTTTAGAGGATCTTCCTTATCTTGTCAGAAAAACTGAAACCAAGTCAATGAAAAATGTCCTTTTTTTTCATTAACAATGCATTTTCTGGCATCCATAAAGATTACAAATAAACTGAAGGATTTCCTAACATCTACACTTGATCCAGCTTGAACTTTCCGCCCTTGCTGGCGGCGTCATTGCGATGGAGTTGGTATAAAAGCCGCTTCTCCAGATGCTTCACTGCGGCAACCGTCAGCACCAGCGTGTCGTGCTTAAGCATGGAGTACACGTTCAGGCCAAAGGTTGGCATCAGGTTGACATAGCCGAGATCATCGCTGGCCTGGCAAATATTAGCAGGGAACATGTGGTCTCTGGTTAGAGAAGAAGTCGGTTAAAACACGATTTATAAAGTTCCTCCAAGCAATACTCACTCATCTACGATCAAGACCGAGGGTCCCCAGTTCCGTTCGGCAATCAGATCCTTGAGAAACCCAGCATCCCCAGTGGGTATGTCCACATTCTCGATGATGTGCAGATCATCCTGGGCCAACTTAACGCTCAGCGTGGAGGTCAGGCCCAGAACGCGTTTATAGAAGGGCAGCATGTAGAAGTGGGTGGTGGGCGATCGGGGGCCGTGGACCACGCCGCCGCCCTTGAGCATGGGCGATCGCAGGGAACCGTGACGGGCACGACCTCCGCCCTTTTGGGGCCACGGCTTCCTTCCGCCACCGCGCACCTCCGCCCGGGTTTTCGTGTGCGCCATGCTTACATAACGATACTTGCGCTGCCACTCCACATTCTCCTGGATGATGTCCACCCGCGGCTGGGCGGCAAAGACATCCGGATGCAGTTCAATTAGTCCCACCTTCCGCTCCGCCACCGCATCCGTGTTCTCGATCCACGCCTGCCGGGCGGTGCTCCTGCTGACCGGCAGGTAATCCGTGTAATCTTGCGGCAGAATCAGGGGCGATTTTGTGGCCGGAGCAGCGGCCACCGGGGATTCGGTCACTACTGCATTGCCTTGGTGGCTGGTGCGGCTGAAGGTCCTGGCCACGGGATAAAGCACCTGCCGCGATGTATTTAGGATGCTTTTGAACATTTTTTCCACTTTAACCCTGATTTTTCAACAAAAAATACTGGTTTATATTCGCACAATCCTGTTTTCCAATATTGGAAAGGAATTGATGATCCTGACGGTTAGTTTAATTAATAAATAATATTAAATATTATTGGAACAAAACACGGGGTGCGATATCGATATCAGGTGGCCCAATCAGAGAAAAACAGCTGTTGGCCTGTGGATGGGAAGTAAACGATAGATTGTCGCAGCGACTGTTATCGCTAGCTAAAAAATAGCTAAATATTCCAGAATTAAAATTTTTTAAGTAAAAACTTGAACTAGTATATGAGAAATTAAAGGTTTAGGGCTTAGAATTAAATGGTTTCAACTATTTGTTAATAAAAAGATTTTTATAATTGTGGGAAAAAATACATGTATTAACTTTTGCAGCCCTCTCTTTTAAAGATACATATTCCCACCAAATGCTTTAAAATTGTTGAATTATAGCAATATATTGTGTCGTAAGTTTTCAAAAAAAAATTAACGAAAAACACAGAAAAGGTTATGTAAAAATTCACCATCTCAAAATCATAAATTTTGGATCTTGTTTGCTTTCAAACTATCTCGAACTGTTGTATTTGAGATATGGGCAATTCTCTGGGGATGTTAACTAAGCCAAAAAGCGTGAAACTTGAAAAATCAAGAAGGGAAGCTAGCTTCGGCCAGCCGAAGCTTATATACCCTTGCAGATCATTCCTATTAATTAACAAATCGCAAAAATGTTCAATTTTCTAATATTTCTCATTAATTTTCCGGTCGTTCCTATGGCAGCTATATGATATAGTCGTCCGATTTTGATCAAATTAAAATTGAAATTCGAAAATATTTAAAAAGAGTCATATCCTAGAGTAGAAGATAATGCAATAAAATCCAAAGAAGCTAAAATTTATTTTCTATTACTTTTCCATTAATTTTCCGATCGTTCCTATGGCAGCTATATGATATAGTAGTCCGATTTTTTAAATAATTAATTCGAAATTCAGATATATTTAAAAAATAACATCCCCAAAAGTAGAAGGTAATATTTTAAAAAACACCGAAGCTAGAATTTTTTAAAGTTTTTTTTTTCCGATTGTTTCTATGGGAGCTATAAGATATAGTTGTCCGATCCGGTCGGCTCCGACATATATACTACCTGCAATAGAAAGAAGACTTTTGGGAAAGTTTCATCCCGATAGCTCAAAAACTGAGAGACTAGTTTGCGTAGAAACAGACAGACGGACAGACGGACGGACAGACGGACAGACGCACAGTGGCGCCTTTTGACTTTTTTTTGGTAATAAATCATAACTTTTGAACCAGTGAAGATAATTGAATTTTGTAAACGGCAAATGATAGATAATTGATCCACCTTTCAAATTATTGCTTGAGACAGGGAGTGGGCGTGGCAGAGTCGTACTTACAAATCGGCAAAGTCAGAATTTAAAAACAAATCCATTTTTTTCCGACAAAAAAAACTTTTTTTAAAAAGTTTTTGTTTTTTTTAGTTTCTTTTTTCATGTTGTAATTTTTAAAACTTATTAAAAAAAAATAAATAAAAAATTGGAATTTTTAAAAAAAATTTTTTTTTTTTTTTAAAAATTACGTTTTGTTTAGTTTATTTTTTTATGTTTTAATTTTTAAAAACTAAAAAAAAAAAAAAAAAAATTAAAGTTTTTTTTTAAAAATAAAAATTTTTATATTTCATGTTTTTTGAAATAATGGTCACAATTTGGTAAACTTGGTAAATCCAATAGACTTAACATTTCTGGACTATAATTACAAGATTCTAACTCTGTGACAAGGTTGTGATTCCATGACCCTAGAATACAGTTTGGATTCGCACATACTAAATTCAATGCTTAGGCAGCGTAAGTTGTTTTGAGCTGGCAAAAGTGGCTATTTTCGTTTCTGAATAACATTTAAACGTGATTTTTTACAGTAACATGATATATACCAAAATTTAAGGAATCTCAAGGGCTATACAGTTTAAAGTTTTAAAGAAAATCGTTAGAGCTGTTTTCGAGAAAAATAAAAAAAACTAAACAAAAAAATTTAAAAAAAAATTGTTTTGTGCATATCTTTTCAATATTACATTTACACAAACTACATTTAGGAGGCGCTTAAAGCTTTTTTAAAAACCTTTCAAACGAGATACAGCACAAGTCTGTTGCTTCTGTAGTTTAGAAGTTACGGCTTTCCGTATTTTAGCTATTTATAGCTGTTTTCCCGCTAAACTAGCGAGTTTTTCCGAAAGTGGTAGAACTAAAATTTCTTATATCGAGCTGTTGAACATCATATAAAATTTTCAGGACTTTAAAACCATGTTTTGGACAAATCTTTCACAAGGTTGCGCCATATGCAATTTCTGGGACCATGACTTTTTTCCCTTTTTTGGCTCTTAAAACCGCGGACGCAGGCGGACGCAGCTACAACTTTCGTAATATCAAGAAGAAAGTCCAAATAACGTTTTACGGAAGTATAAAAAAAATAGTATTAAATAGTTTTTTTTATTTTCCATCAAAGTTGAAAAATATGGAAAAAATGGACGTTTCGCAAATAACTCATAACTAAGAGATGCGCATGGCAAACTGCAATATGTTTTACTTTTTTTACTCTTAACTAACACACCAATCCGTGGAAAAAAGAAGCAAAGCGATTCGATACCTAGTTTTTAAGAAAAACCCCCCGGAAGTGCGAAAAATTACCTAAAAACGGTGTGTTTTTTTTAAGTGAAAAATTGTTCAACTTTGAAAATTCATATCTTTTACAAAAATTTTTTGATTTGAAAAAGGGTTACATATTTGTAATAGTGGATCAATTATCTGTCGATTGGTATGGGTCACAACTTTCTAGGACAAAGTCGAAAAAGTGATTTATTGCACGTTTTTTGGCCCAAGGCGCCACTGTGAGACGGTCAGACGGACATGGCTAGATCGACTCGTCTTGTGATGCTGATCAAGAATATATATACTTTATGGGGTCGGAAACGTCTCCTTCACTGCGTTGCAAACTTCTGACTGAAATCATAATACCCTCTGCAAGGGTATAAACATATTTCTATATGATTTTGCACTGATATTTGATTCGAGTTAGATGGATCCTCAACTAAGCTAAGTAATTTGAGTAACCTTGGATAATTTTCCAGGACAACCCTGTTAAATGGACAAAAAAAGAAAAACCACCTAAATAAGGGAAAACACTGTCGCGTGCGACATGTAGCGTGTGACAGTCACTTCGATGCCAATAAAAAATTAACCTCTCAATATTTTGTAGTCAAACCAAATACATTTTAAAAAAGAAAGAACAAGGAACACTATGAAATTAACTGCAATAAAATATTCCTTCACGTTTCGTTACAGGAAGCAGGAAGTCAAAAAAGTCACTTCTATTGGTGTCGCTTGCGAAAGCCTTGGTTTTTTTTATATATCTTAAAAACGAAAAATGTCCCAAAGTCAGCCCTAGCACATATTTTAGTGCTAATCAAGACCTTTAATTTGAGCCTAGTGCCAAAAGAAAAGAAGTACTGGAACGTCGCGTGCGACAGCAGATAATTGCCCTAATATAACTCTTCTAGTAAACGAACGACATGTAATTATGATTTATTTATTTACTGTGAACAAACTGTACTAAGTATGTATATAAAGTAGTGATTTAAGTCCGTAACCTTGAGATTCTGGTTTTCTTTCAATTTCAGGGAGCCATTTGCAATGTATGTCACTACCTGCTTTCCGGTATTCCACGAGATCCGTATCTTAATACATTGTTAATGAATCTCTCTTTCCCTACCTAGGATATTTTCTTGGAAAAATAACATGCAGGTAAGGAGAGTCTCTTAAGGTGGTCAAAAAGGTATAAATAGCCAGACCCGATAGAAACAATGTCAGTTGCAATAATACCCTCAAAGATTGTTCATATACGTGCATTCGTGTTTCGAAATTGCCAGAGAGCTAAACACACTTTACAAAAATGAAATTCTTTGTAAGTCCTTTAAAATTTTCAATCCTTGTATTTTTAACTAATTTCAATTTCGATTGTTTTTTAGATTTTATGTCTGGTTGTTCTGATTGCCATAGCGTCGGCGCGTCCCCAATTTCCATTCGGAGGATTCGGAGGATTTGAACAGCAACAGCAGCAACAGGACTTAGGTGGTTTCGGTGGATTCGGTGGACAGCAACAGCAGGAAGGTTTCGGATATGGTGGCGGATTTGGTCAGCAACAGCAACAGCAAGGTTTCGGTGGTCCCGGCTCCTTTGGGCAGCAACAACAGCAGGAAGAATTTAGAAGTGGTGGCTTTTTCGGTTAATTACAAATTAGAACATAGATATCACTGTTAAGGAGGCCGAAAAAATATTAAAATACCTATTCAAAACTTGAGTCAAACCTGTTATTATTAATTCACATTTTTATTTTATTTAAATAAATTTAGCATATATTTTAATTGCCTACTTTAAGTACTTATGATTGAGAATTTTCTCAAAAATATTTATGTTTTCGTTGAAACTCTCAATCATAATTACCGCACAATTTTATAGAACCCATTAGCACTGGCACATGGGCAGTATTTGATCTCCTGCTCCTCGACCTTTTGGCGGCAAGCTATTACGGAACTTGCCCGCGATGTAGCATACCAATCCGAAGTATCCTGTTCTGGTGTTTGGGGATTATTATGGCAGTATATTTTTCTCTGAACTTCGGCGCAACTGCAACTTTCTTTTTGGAAACGGAAACTGGAGTCATACAGGACTTTAACCTCTCCATCGTCGATATCATCGGGGGCACATGGACAGCGGAATGGAACTTGAGGTCTAGGCATAGGTATCTCTTCATCACTACATGGACATTTTATTTCCAAGGGAACCTCCTCTGATTTCCGATTATACTCTTTTGGAGTTTCGGATTTCCTGCACCAACTGAAAAATCCACTACGCTTCGATGGTGGTTTACTTGCATCTTTTGATTTTTCATTTTTAATTTTCTCATCTTGGGGACGTTTTTCGGATTTTTTAAAACAGAGAAAATCACTTGGTTTGTTTAAAGATGATCTCTCTTTTGGTCTCGGCTTTTCCTGGGGATCTTTTTCTTGGGGAACTTTTTCCTTTCTTTTGAAACAGCTAAATCCACTCGATTTAGATTGGGTCTTTTCTTTAGGTTTCTGCTTTTCTTGGGGAAACCCACTCGACTTTGATTCAGTTTTCTCTTTTGGCTTAGATTTTTCTTTTGTATGTTTTTCCTTTTTTTTTAAACAGATAAGTCCACTTGATTTTGATTCGGTTTTCTCTTTTGGATTTTCCTCATTAGATTTTTCTTTTTTATTAGGCTGAGGCTGGCTCTGTCCTTCAGGGCTTGATTTACTCTCCTCTTTCGGGGATTTTGTACAACAACCAAGGAAAGAGACTTTTGATTTAGTTTTTTTCGGATCTTCGTACTCTAAAATTTCTTCTATTTTGCAATCGCAAGGGGTATCGGTATCATATTCTTGAGGTTTTATTTCACAACTGCAGTCAGAGGAGCATTTTTTCGACAGGACCTTATCTTCGATGTGACCAATGAAAGGACAGTCTTCAACACATTTCCGAAGCTTTTCTTTCTCTTTGAATTTTTCAAAATTATCCAAAATATGCTTGTCATAGCTATTGAAAATTGGGTCTGTCACAAGGGGATTATGTCGGTTTTTCACAAAAATTGGTGCTTCCTTCCCAGGACTTATGCAGATGGTTCTAACTAAGTTTTCGACGGATTTATTCTTTATTTCTGCTTCAATTTTAGGGGGATTGCAGTATTTATTAATTGCCCGACGATCTCTTTCAAGGGGTACATAACGCTTGCATGTGTTGCAGGACTTTGTTGTAATCTGATTATCATCGTATATATCTGCTTTTCCACTGCTTTGGCGACTTGTATTTTTTTCTTTATTTTTGCATTTTCGCAGATCTGTGAAGAGAACTCGATAACGATTAGGACAATCCATAGAGCAGAGATCATCAGTATCGTAGCCCATGTCACATGGATTTCGTCCTTGAGCCATTTTATATTTGTCTTTTTTTGATGTTTTAGTTTTGGAACAGTCTTTATCACAAGTATCAGCCGTATATTCATATTCCTTTTGAGTCCTTTTTTTATTTATTTTATCGGGACAACCTGGGTTCTCACATACTTCTTTTTCATATCGGGTCTCTCTATAATTGTTTTTAGGGCTAACATTTCTTTTTTGGCATTCCGAATTTCCGCATACTTTAATCCTATTACCCAACTGTTGTTCACCATTGTTTATATCATTGTTATATCGATAACGTTGGTGAATATAACCATCTGTACGATATAAGTCTGGATCTTCTTCACATTGTATGTCATTATTTTCTAGATTCCGTTCTGGACAGTTGGGATCAGCGCATATAGTATTAGGAATTTTCTTATGTTTTTTGTCGCTGTTTGATGAACGTCTTTGAGATCTGACTTTATAAGAGTCTTGTGCGGCATATCCATTTTCACCCTGTTTCCTATGCATATTTTTTTTATCAGGACATTTTGTATTTGCGCACAATTGCTTTCCGTAATTTCTTTCAGAATCACGATCGACGTTAGTTGGATACTTATTTCGATCCTCGATTGCTCTTTTTTTAGCCGGACATTCTGAGTTCTGAGGAGCTCTTTCATATCTTTGAGTTTTCCTTATAATTTCTTCGTGGTTCGGCGAATCCTTGTAAAAATGTTTTTTCTTGGCGAGCCTTTTTAATCTATCTGGGCATTTTGGATTTTCACAGAACTCTGATTTATTATTTGCTATTTTATTTGGGTTATTAACATGGGATCCTCGATTTTGACAATCTTCTAAGCATGAATTTTGAGAATACCCATCCTCTTGGTTTACTTTTACGTTTATTTGCCTTTCCGATCTTGTTCTTAAAGAACTATTTGCATTAATTGGTTTTCTATATGTTGGGTTTTTATCAGGACAATTTGGATTTTCACAAAAATAGTAATCATAATCATTATTATCATCTTTTTTTTGTTTTTCACATCTTTTTGTAATTCGTGGAGCCCCTCGACTTCTATCATCTTGACGGGAGGACTTTAGCCTTGTCGGACAATTTAGTGACATATTTTCTGTTTTATAAGATTCATTAAACTTTTGATTTCTGAGATCAGTAAAATACATTTGATTTTCTGAATAATTACAACTTTCTACTGCTCCACTTTGAACAATTTGTTCAGGACATTCGCGAAGTTCTTGTATATATAATTCTTGTTCGTTCTGATTTTTATTCGAACTTTTGTAAAGCGGTTCTGTTTGTGGGCTGTTGGGATTAGTTTGTCTCCTTTCACTCCGAGTTGAAACATTTTTAGGACAATATGGATTTTCGAAAAAGTCTCTAGAATTATAAGCGGTTCCACCTTTCTGGAAAGGAATTTCTCTCTCCTTTTCAACACAATAGCAATCAATCTTGCCCTTTGTTAGTTCACTTTCGTTTGGATAATATTGAGTTCTATTTGACATGGGATAAATAGGATTCTCCCACGATCTGGAATATGGCATGGTTTCTCGGCAAGTGGAATTAACACATACTTCTGTAGGATCCTGATAATTTCTGGATTTATCTTCGAATGTGACGACAACAGAACGATTGTTTTGATAAGGGCAATACTCGGGTCCTTTACATGATCCTGAATTTATTGATTGTGCATAAAGACATTCAGGATTACACTTGGATATGTCAATTTCCGTTGGATAGGATTGATGGATTGGACTATTATGCGATGTTGAATTTTTTAAATCATACGGGCAACAGGAATTGTCACATATTGGTAAGGGTTTTTGCCCATTGCTTTCATTGTTAGGGATATATAGATGTGCATCTTGAAAGGTTACTGGCCCTCGATTTTTTAGACCATCGTCTGCATTGTACAAACTTTGATATGGGCAATACTCTGGACCTCTGCATATTTCCTTTGGATATTGCCTTTCTGAATTTGTTGTGCCCTTTGAACATTGGCTATAAGCTGAATCTGTCATTGGCTTCCTTGCCATAGGATTCTGTTGGAAAACTTCGATTTGAGGATGGTTCGTACTGCATAGACCCACTGGTTTAATTGATTGATTTAAACTTTGATTGTCATAATCCCTCATGGTTTGTCTTTGTGATTCATTTGCAATACCAATGGTTTCGCTAAAGGGTTCCTGGTTTCGATACGGTTGACGGTTACGTTCGCTTATTTCTTGAGGGTAATCATATTCCGTTCTTCTAGACATTTCCTCATTCTCGTTGTTTCGATACGGTTGATATTTTCGTTCGTTTATTTCTTGAGGGTAATCATATTCCGTTCTTCTAGATATTCCCTCATACTCGTTGTTTTGATAAGGTTCACTTTTTCTGTCGTTTATTTCTTTGGGGTATTCATATTCTGTTCTTCTTGATGTTCCTTCATTTTTATATTGTACTTCAAGATTGGCTGGACTGCATGCGTTATCAAAAGAATAATTTTCAGGAATTGCTTCCCTTTGAACAGGGTTGTTTCGATACGGCTCACTTTTTTGTTCACCTAATTCTTTGGGGTAATTATATTCAGTTCTTCTGGATATTCGCTCACTTTTATATGGAGGACTAGATCCGTTCTTAAAACAATAATTTTCAGGTATTGCTTCCCTTTGAATAGTGTTGTTTCGATACGGTTCAATCTTTCGTTCGTTGTTTTGATAAATGTTTGCTGATGGTTCAACTCGATTTGGACTTGCTTGTTTATTTAAGGAACGTGAAAAATCTTCTACATGAGCTGGACTTAGACCTTTATTATAAAATTCGTATTCAGGCATTGCGTTCCTTTGAATTTTGTTATTTGGATAAGTATGTGCAGATATTTCAACACTATTTGGACTTGCTTCATTATTCACAGGATGACGACCTGTGAAATATATTTGTGAATTCGTTTTATAAATGTCCGATGAGTTTCCACCATCAAAACCGAATCTTCTACCACTATAAACATTATTTGGGTATAAGTTGGTGGGGGTTTCAACATTGGCAAGACTAGTTTTACTATCGGGCAGTTGATTTTGAAAAGTACCCATAGGATGATCCAATTTCCTTCTTTCCGAATTGGAATTTTCATGCTGGTAAGGAAAATATGGTGTACGAATATCAATACCCTTTTTATTCTGAATATCATTTAATAAAGCTTGATCGTTAAACTTTGTATTTTGAGGTGTTTCAAACCCATTTCTGATATTTATTTGCTTTTCCAGTCCAGCCACAGTTTTTTGCAGCATACCTAATATTTCCCGAACGTCGCAATTGTCATTACTTGTCGATAGCTTGGATATTTCTTTTTTAACCTTTGTAGCTGATTTTTTGCATTGGCAATTTTCACACACCTGACTTTTAGTTTTTTCAGATGGGATCGGTTTTTTCCCGGATCTTTTTCGAGTGCTACATCGACTACAGCAACTGCAGCACCGACTTCTTTTGCGTTTACGAGTTCGAATTACCTTTTTAGTTTTCGGAGCAGTGATTTCAGTTGGCCTGAGTTCTGTGGAACTGGATTGCACTAGGTGGTATTGCTCTTTGTGCGATTCTATTATAAGGGAACTGGATTGTTTGGGGCTTAAACCCTTGGGTTTCGATTGGTTCGGTTTACTTCGCACTTGGTTAGGCTGATTTGATGATTCTGAAGGTTTCCTTTTCATTTGTCGAGGTTGTGGGGTCTGTGAATTTGATTTACCTGATTTTGCCTGCCTGATATACTCTTTATTGGGTGTTCCTATATGGGATACATGATAGGATTCTTGAAGCGTTTCAATTTCTACTGAACTGGATTGTACTAGAGAGACTTGCTCATCACGGGATTCAATTATAAGCGAATTGGATTGCATTAGATTTAAAGCATTTGGTTTTGATTGCTGTGACTTATTTTTAACAGGTTTCGAAGGTTCTTTCTGCATTAGTTGGGGTTGTTGGGTCCTTACATTTGTTTTAGCTGATTTTGATGAATTCGGCGCTTTTATATTGGATCTTACAATATTTTTTTGCCCTTTGGAATCGTGAGTTTGCTTGGGTTGTTTTGCATTATAAGGTATTGCCGGAGATTTTCTGTAGGTTATTAATAATTCAGATGTCTGAGTAATGGCTTCAACGCATATAGGACAACTATTTTTAATTTGTCCTGCATTCTCTCCGCTTTTCTTTTTCACGAATCCTCTAGGTGTTTCTTTAGTGCTGAAAGCAGATCTTCTTTTTCCAACTAAAAATCAATGAATTAGTCAACGTTTAAATTAAATTACGTGTTGGGCAACCATACCTTGTCGATACTCGGGAGATTGGAGTTTCCCTACATTGTAGGACCTTTTTTCCGTTTTATTATAGTTGGTTACCGTCCTTGTTTTTGGGTTATCTGAATCATTCGATGATTCTCCGTTACGGTAAGGATTTTCTCCAGTTTTGTATTCGTTGGTATAAAAACTATTTGATTCATGAACTTCATAAGATTTCGCATTATTTTGGGAAACCATTGAGGTCTTTAATTCAACTTGGCTTAAATTATCTTCACTCTCCACATTATTAATGTGCTGAACAAAATGTTCAGACGATAATAAGCTAGTTTGTGAAAGTATTTTATCACCATTTCTTCCATAGCTCGCTCTGACCTCATGAACGTTCACTGAAGTAACTTCCATAGAATCATTGGACACATTTCGGTTATCAAGACCACGTCTCTTTGTTACAGTTACTTGTGGACTAAAATTTCTGCTTTGGCTGATGTTTCTCTTCCCTTTTGTACAATAACAATTGGATATCTTTCTATTCATTATCCGACCTTGAGGTATGTACTTAATTTTGTGATCAATACGGTTTCCTCGAGCACCTCTGGCCATATATTCTTTGATTTCCGTATTGCTGGGCAGCTTAAGGTTCCACTTGTTATCCACATTTGAGGGTGGCTTGCTAATCCTCTCTATTTTGTTTAGATAATCAGATTGACTTTGTAGCTTTGGATTTCCATCAACATCCATTTCAATATCCGTTTCCGAGGGACTATAACCGCCATAGTTCTTGTAGGGGCAACTTTTTGAACACTCAAAAATACTCTTTGGATTGCCGTTGGTTTTTGATGGCTTCTTACAAATTCTTCGTTGTTGATTAAATTCTTCGCCGCTGTAGACCCTTTCCTTTAATCGTTTGAATACCCCACATTTTTGAAAATTTCTTTCCTCTAAGGTATTTCTTTTTCTAATTTCCACCTTGTTTTTCCTGCCCCTTCTTCTTGCTTTCTTACCTATGGTACATTGACAGGAATTATCCGACTTGAGAGGCGTATTAAGCTTGTGATCATAGGGAGTTCGATTGAGAATCGAACAGTTGATGATCTCCTCCAGAGATCCGTTGGGATTATCTTTTGGTTCTTCCTTGGACTTGCTGATGTTTAGTTGCCAGGTGGACGGATAGGTGGAGGAACTGTGTCGAGATCGAGTGCTGCCCCTAGAATGTTCATTGGGTTTCAGGCTGTGACCGCTTAAGGTTGGTTTATCCTCTGGAAAGAAACGGTAAAAAAAGAAAGAAGCGAATATGCTTAAATAATAAATTTCCAAACTCACCACTTGGCTTGAGTTTCCTCCAGGATCGAGAGTCCTTCTTCTGGAGTTGACATCCCGGAAATTTTCCAGCCGTTTCTCGCTCAGTTAAATGCCTAAAAGGATTGGCTGCCAGAATCCTATGAAGTTTCCTCACTGCTCTCGACGAGGATCTTTCCGGAATTCGATTGATCTGTTGCGCATTTCCGATCAGGGAAGGAGCTACCACAATACCACCCTGGTTTGGGACCAATTCGGTGGAAACCTGGTCCCTGCCAACGCTTTTGCTTAAGGCTCGTCGCAAGAGGATCTGCTGGGCAGTGCGACGCCTTCTGGTTAGGCCAGACATGTCAAAGGAGCAGAAGTCAGGAACAGCAGCTCAAAGGCTCAGTTACATAGCTGTTTATATTTGGCATTTAAAACAAAGTTAGCCTAAATTAAACGAATTTTTTCTATGTTGGTTTACCCGTTTTATTTTTATACAAAAGTTCTAAAATAATCTATCAGAAATCTTATTTTTTGTATATTTGTCTTCTTGAGGGCTTACAAAATATCGTTATGAGCGAAACATTTCTACAGGATCTATAAGGCAGGTTATGGTTCAGACAATCTGAGATCCTCAAAAATTGTCAGTTTACGTCAGAAAAAAAACTGATAAACGAGTTTTCTGGCATAAGCTGACAAAATGTTGAGGATCTGTTAGGATGGTCGGACATCGTCAGATATCTTTTCTCATCACCGGGAAATTTGGTTTTAGAACCTACAGCCCCCTCCACAGCAGTAGTCACAGGTGTAGCAGCTCTTTGCAGCCGGTGGACAGCAGCAAGGCGTAAAGCCGGGCTTATGGAACGGACTGTAGCCGTACTCCAGACATCTGGGCTTTGGATTGAGGACAAACGGAGGATTGGCAAAACGGTCGTAATAGACTTTTGGAGCCCACTTCTTTCGACGCCTGCGTCGCTTCTTCTTCAAGTAGCAAATGCAATCGGAATTTGGAATAAGATCTCGAAGGATTCGCTCCAAATTGGTGAGATCGCACTCGCAAGGAAGCTCATCTTGCAACATATTGTCGGGAACACAGGTGCACTTTCCCTGCTGATTGCACACGCAATCCGAATCCCCGTCCTCGTTTTCGGGATCCTCAGCGGGAGCACATTTGCAACAACGACAAGCATTAGTCTTTCCAGTTGAAATGCAAATTGGCACCTGTTATGGGGATAAAGACATTTATTATTTAGTCAAAAGTTTAGTTTCGCCTTACCTGTATGCATTTGTATGTCTTGTTTTTGGCATCGGTCACAATAACTTCCTGCGCTTCCTGCGGGCTTCCCGTTTCGGTAAAATATTCCCCCGTGTTCGCTGGTGTTTTCATATTTCCATATCCCCCTGTTTCTAGACTTTCCGATTGATTTTTGGGATTTCTCGGATTATTTCTCATTGAGTCTAATCCTTGACAATTACATGGACGACCAAGTCCACTGCCTACCAAACGCTGCTTGCTCTTTTTTGTTTTATTACTTCCTATAAGGTGATCGGGAAGAAAATCTTCTGTATCTTGGGGACTCGGCGGGCTTTCCGGTTGGATCTTCTCCATGTTACATCGACAATTTCGTTGAGTTTCCGGTTGTCGAATTATTCGAGGGTGGTCAGCATTATTGGAGTATCTAAAACATGGTTACAAAAACGAAAAAGTTTAAACATTTAAGTTGACCAATAAGTAGTCTACCTCCTTGGCTGTCCACTCCAATCATCCTGGTATCTATATCAAGAAAAACATAGTTATATGATTTTTATGGATCTAAATAAGCTACCTTACCTATTTCGACTGGTCCGAACACCGTCGCTGTGGATAATCAAGAGTTTAAAAAATATAGTTAAGATATAGGTTCTGTACTTACCTATATCGCTGACTGTTACTGTGGAAAGGAAAAAGTTTGAAACAGTTTCAAATTAAAAAAAAACATTATAAATATCTCTATAATAGCTTACTAGCGAACGTGTTCATGTTCATAGTTAGGTCTTGGCCTTGCCCTGGGTCCATTTACAGGTCCAGCTCCAGGTGGTGGATAATAATAACTGAAGTATAAAGAGATAAATATTATAATCAAATACTAGGAAACTTAAATCAGTGGTGGCCAGCAGAGGCAGCGCGCAGGGCCCACGGGATAGGCAATGTCTCTGCCGCTGCGCTGCTAGCGTTTCGACGCTCACGTACGCCGTCAAGCTGAAAAAAGTCACGCACACAGTCAAGTTCGTGCATGCTCCCACTCACACAAACGCAATTGCATGTGTGATGCTTCTGCTGGCCTCCACTGATTTAAAAAAATGCTTTTTTAAATATTCTTTTTAATTTACCTTGGTGGTCCCCCTCCAGGAACTGGATAGCCTCTGGGACCTGGACCTTGATATGGTACATGTCCTTGGCCTTGATATTGTGGACTTGGTCCATGACCTTGGTACCCAGCTCCTGGGATCGTGTATCCTCTACCCGGAAACGGTGGTGGATCGTTCTTGCTAAAAACGACATATTTCACTTTGGAACTGAAAAACTAAGTACCTATCCTATCTCACTTGACCACAATCAGCAGAATGGTAGGTTGAGCTTGAGCTTGAGCTGGTTGCTGTATTGGCAATGTCCGCATTGGGGTATTGGCGCCAGATCGACTTGGAGTCTGGTCATCATAGTAGGCTGGAGTCTCATCCCCATGATGGGCAGGTGTGGTACCACCGTGTCGATTATATGGTGCAGTGTAGCTAGATACAACAGTTTCGTTGCGATTATTCTGATGATTTTTGTAAGGCTCATTCTGCTTTTCCGTGCCGTCTTTTAGGGTATACACGCTGTCCATCGACTGTAGCGTACGGGTGGAGACCCGACGACTATTATTGCCATCCTTATCATTGTTATTATCATTGGTATTATTATGACGTTCACCCATGACTCCAAGGGGCTCTGGCCAGGGAAGGATATCCGAATGGCGGAGTATGCAGTTCTTGCAGCGACAGATGTGTTTCTCCGGTTCCGGCGTTGGCTCCTCGCAGAACATTATACTTATTACCTAACTGTCATCCTAACCCAAGTCCCTCTTAAAGATCTGTACGAAAAAGAGCCGAAAAGTGTAGAAAAATAATTTCAAATCTGTTGAATTTGAAAATATAGTGAAAGATTGCTTTTGCCATTTTTTCTTGGTCTTACATTATCAATCCCTCTATGTGACTAGTTTATCTTTTAGACCTAAATGTAGAGCTGTGGCAACTAATAGAGCGTATCTGATTGCTCCTGGTTCTCTTGACCTTGGGTATTTTAGGAATAGATTCTTTTCTCATTGGATGTTGTTGAACCTGCACACCTTCCGTGTGTTGCACTTTTTCAAACATCACCTTATGAGTACCTGCTGTATTTCCACTGTGTTTCCCACTTTTGAGCTTATGTCGCTGTTTCAAAGATGACTTTTTGCACATTCTCTCAATTTGAATGGGTTCTTGGGTGGTTATGCCACTTAGTCCTGTGGTACTGAGGGCCTTATCGCTAGTGGCTATTATATTTACGAAACTATTGTCACTGGTGGTTTCCAAGTCAGTTTGAGGGGTTTCATCTCTTGAAGACATTCCCGTTTGCTTTTCCATTTGCTTGAAGAAGTCCTGCTCCACTTCCAATTCAGCTAATTTATTGCTAGCACTTTGATACCAGTCATCCTCATCCACCTGCTCCTCCTCCTCCTCTATAAAGGAATATCTAAGGTTTCCCCCCTCACGACGATAATCGCAACTGGACCGGAAACTGGAAGTTTGAGGAGAGCCAAGCACGTAGATGGATTCACCAGTCGGGTGATAATACTTTCCCTGTTCGTCTAATTCGTCCTCTGATTTAATACTTGGTGGTGGGGCCTTGAGACAAGGGGGCGGAAAGCCATGAGTTGATCTCAAGGAATATGCGATCTCAGGATCTTCTTGTAGCCTTTCTTGCGTAGAAGGAAATCGTTCCTGATTCCTACCGCATTCCATAGAACACCACATGGTTGTGCCAGCATCCTTTGTAGATTGTCGTGGGTTATCCGATAGCTTATTACTTGAATATGATCCTTCCAAGGACTTTGGCAAGTCATCGGTACTACTGCCCTGATTTTGCAAGTGTATATAGGTGGTAGATTTGGAAGGACGCTTACGTTTCCGCTCCTTTAACCAAGGTAAACGGTCCAGATTGGGTTTCTTTTGAAAAATGGATTCAGGTGAGGGATAGTGATCCGAAGATGGGTATGAAGGAACCGTTTGTACGATCAAAGGTTGCACAGGTAGCTGCAATACATGGACAGGTGGTATATTTCCCCTAAACTGGTTCATTGGGTTTAGAGCAGACTGCCATTCCTGTTGCTTGGAATGATTGCCCATATAGTTGTTTAACCGATCAATGGTTTCGCACATAATATCGGTTAGAACTGAGAGCTGGCAGTCCTGGGCTTCGCCACTTTGATCCACCTGATTATCAGTGGTATTGGAGTTATCTTGATGCGGTTTCAGTAGGTTTACTTTTTTCTCATGCAAATAGCCATCCAATCCCATCAATATATTCTTAAGGTCATGAACAACTTGGGTTCCGTTAGCATTATTGGTTTCCTCTGAAGGAATTATTCCTTCCCCTGCATTTAAACGGTTTGGGGGTTCCAAAAAATTTCCATATTCGTATGGCGATTCATTTGAGCACAAATCAAAACCCCATTGATGTCCCATTTGCACAGAGTCATATATGGGAGAATAGGTCATGAAATAGGGATTGATTAACTCCCTTCTTCGCCTCCTTCGAGTTCTTATCGGTCCGGAGCCATTAGCTTCGATATTGACGCACACACGACGGGTCCGTCTCATCGTTGTGGTTCTTGTTGGAACGGGTAGTAGGGCATCCAGTCTTAACTGGGATCTTCGACGTCGCTCCAACATCTTCTAAAGTCCTTTAAGTAATGCTACCCAACAACAGGTTGTTCAAGTTGCCAAAGGTTGAAATTTTTTTATTTTCTAATTAAATTTTGACAGCTGGTCTAAAAATTGAAGGTAAAGTCTTAAAAAACTGGTTTCAAAACATTTTCCAGTTTTGAAAACAGATTTTTTCTTTCAAACTAAACTGGTATCTTTGCAATTAAATTTTAAATAAAATCAAAATATAATTCAGATATTAAACATTTATTTAAACACACATTAAGAATTTGTTTTTATTCGACTTCTCAAGTTTTTTTTTTCAAAATGTGTCAATACGAATGAATTAAGAATGGATAGAAGTATAAATAAATGTAAGTAATGACTGCAGTTGAACAGCGGAATCAATCGAAGTATGGGATTTTTAAAAGAATGGTTGCAATGGAAATATATCTTCACTTCTTCGGATCCAATGATTTGTTGTGCCCCCCGAAACGGGCATTCACGCGGACATTCTCGCCGGGTATCTGGCTGCGGAAATGAGCCCACTCCTTCTGGTAGTACTGAAATAATGCCACCGGATCACAGTGCCTGGATTTGCATCGACGGCGAGCTGAAAAAATATATCCATTAATTTATTTGAATAATTTTTAATAGGGACTACTAACCCATAGCAGCTCCCCGACTGGCGCTGCGCGGATGCGACTTGCTGCGTCGGCGGCGTTGCATCCTGGGACGGATTGCATCATTAGCCTCCGATTCGCCACTGGACAGCGGAGGTTCTTTTCCCTGACGAGTCTTGCTGCGACTGCGACGCTTTCCGTTTGCCTGAGAGTGTTCGGGCTCTAAATCCTTGGTTGCCGTCGGAGGCACGGATGCATCCATCAGGAGCTTCTCCTTAAAAAGGCGAGCTAGGTCCGCAAAACCATCTCCTCCATTGGAACGCTGCTCCTGGTCAGTCTTGGACTCCTTCTCCTTGGCAGATGAACATGGACATGGTGGAGCCGCATTCTCCTTATCCTTCTCGCCACTCAATTTGGCACGCGAGCTGACGGTGCCGCGTTTATGCAGGCCGTTGAAATTGTCCTCCTTTGCGTTCTCCGCCAGACGCTCCTCATACTTGATGAGCTTGCGCAAGTCTAAATTGGGATGGGATTGGATCAAAGAAGTGGCCATTAGCAGGGGAATGAGGATGGCGGATAGTGGATATGCGATAAGTGCGGAAGTAATGGTGGCGAATCGGGATTGCCTGCGCTAAATGTAATGTGGCATCTGCTAAAAAGAATTAGTAGTTTACAACGGCTAGTTATTAGTCGAAAATCTATTCTAAATCAGCCGAAATATTCCAATTTGTAACCAATTTTTAGAATCAGATCAAGGTAAATCCCAAAAAGATCGTTACTGTCTAGATAATTAACATTTCTCAAATAAGACCTAACCACATATATTTATCTATCGACCGTAATTATTTAAACCCTTTCGATTTGCGTTCAATAAATTAAAACTGATATGTGTATGTTTAGTGAATATTTAATTTAATTTAATCTTTGTTTAAATATTTTTACAATTGCTTTTGGTTTTTTGTTTAAATTTATTTATCTCTGTTACATAGTTTACTTTTTCCTTTTTTTTTTTACTTTGCTTGAGCGTTGACTTTGATAATAGTACATGGCTAAGAAAATGAAAACTGTTTAATTGGTGATTTCCACAGGTAAAAACAAAAACGATAAATGGAAACTTGACTACTTAAGAGCTAGATTGAAAATGAGAGATTTTGGAATTGTCCGAAATTGTTGATGAGATGTTTTTCTTGGGGGGCAAGGGAATTTGAGCTAAACTAAGATTAAACTAAGGCTTATGTACGTATTTCCGTGTGTGGTTTGTGTGTGAGTTTTAATTACGCTACATTTAGTTGATGGATGGGTGTTTGTCTTCACAATTTCAAACTCGAAAAAATCTGACAAAGTTGATTGAATCGTATAGAACTTTTCGAAAAGCATTTCGGCTTTTACACATTTCGGCAGTGGTTTAGTCTCAAAAGATAGATAGTAAGCGAAAACATTTAATAGGTATTTATTCAACATTCACTTTGCCAAATTTAATACGAAATTAAAATTGAAAAGATGACCGATTTGATATCGCTGTGTTTTTCTGGTTTTTGGAGGGATTTGTGGCCTAAAAATACCTAAAAACTGAAACTTATAACTCATCGTCGCTGTACACACTAAAAGCTAAACGTGATTGGTGCTGAATGATGCGTTTCTTGATCTGGATGATGATAATGATGACGTGCTGTGCTCAGCGGCGGTATCGAAAGCGTCGGAATGGCGCTCTTAGCCGCCGGCAGGTGACACGCACCTCCTTCTTGAGGAACTGCGAGATGGCCAGGGATTTGACGGCAGCCGTCGCCGCTTCGGCGGCACAACTGCTCGCCGCCTTTCCATTGTTTGGTGGCGCATACTTGGAGATGTCGAACTTCCGCTTCGGCGTCGTCTGGTGTGGGCAATGCTCGTGCGAATCGCCCGCCTGGGTGTTGCTCAAATCGAGATCGGTATCCAGTCCATCCGACGAAACGGTGAAGATGTCCGAATTGTCTCCCAGCTTCTCGCTGGGCGAAATGCAGCTGCCTAGGCTACCGTTCAGCTGTGGCGTTCTTCTCTGCTGCTGTTGAACTTGTCCCGAACTTGGCGTCGAGGTGGCCTGAAGTCTCTGGCCATTGTGCAGAGTGAGTAGGAGTTTCTTGCCCTGCGCGGAGTGCTCTTCGGGTGGCGTAGTTACAGATATGGAGGGCGGTATCCGTGCTCGTTTCTCCGGCGGCTCTGTCTTTTTCGGGCTTATCTCCTGCTCTTCGTAGGCATCTTCAAAGACATCCTCCTCATCCTCCTCCTCCTCCTCTTCGACATCCGCATCAGTGGCTTCGATTTCAGCCTCATCATCCTGCTGTTGATCCACGGAATCCGCCATGGTTTCATCTTCGTCGGGCAGACTCTCCAGTTCAGCCTGCTCATCAACATCGGTCGCTGGCGGCGTCATCACGGCATCTTCTCGCGAATTCTGTTTATCATCGGCAGGTGATTCATCGTCATCTCTGCCACCACCACCTTCATCATCTTCATCTTCTTTGCTAAGCAATTTTTCCCTGCTCGCTGAAGTCGTAGTGGTTGTGGTGGTGGTCGTGGTCTGTTCCTCCTCCGTTTCCATCGGCTCCTGCTTTATGGGGTGAAGCTCGGCCAGACCCATTTTCTGGAAATTAATTCGCTCATCTGGCAAGGATCGACTTCCTCCATTCCGCCGCCTCTGAGCTTTTGGCCAGCCCGTGCGATTGGATTTCAGGCTCTTTTTCTTTCTATAATAGCTGGCATACAGATTGAGATTGCTCATTCGTCGACTGGAGCCGGGTAGATTTCCTCTGGCTACCTCGTCCTCATCATCGCCACTGCCTGCGCTACCCAGTATCAAATCGCACAAGTCAAACTCGCTTGTGAAGCAATCAGTGGGTGGTGGAGTTACAAGCCTTTCCTCTCTTCTTTCGCTCTCCTTCACCACCGGCAGTTCGTCCTCTTCCAGATCGTACTCCTTGCCAGCTAGCTCCAGGTATTTGTCCAACTGCCAGGCAACGAAACCCGGATTACAATACTGACTGGCTTGTTGATCGAGAGCTTTGAGGGCACACGGTTCCATTTCGTATTCGAGCAGACCCTTTTTGCTGGGCAATTTGCGAACGCCGCGAAAGGCGCCCATTCCGGGAGCTTGCTGGATATTGGGACGCACTACCGCAGGATTAACTCTTCTACTGCGCTTGCCCAACAGCGCACTCGCCGAGGATTCCCTTTGGCTGGTTGTGAATTGCAAGCGGCGCGAATAGCTTTGTCCTAAATTTTGTGCGGCCGGCGTAAGGCGACGACTTCTGGCTGGCGAGGAAGTTCCCGGCGTGGGATTGGGATTTTGCGCCGGTGCAGGCGGAGAATGATCGTACTTGTTTTGCCCACGCCTCATCCTCTTCACCGTCTCGCTAATCTCGGTGGCAAATCGAAGTTCCTCCACTGGCGTTGCAGCCTGCGAACGAGTTGTTCTGGGCGATGAGGGTGCAACAATGGGTTCCTGTTTCATGGGAGTCTTAAGCTTTGGAGCAACCACCACCACAGGGGGAGGTGGCTCTTCCGCTTCGGAATTCGTTTTACTTTGCGAATCCTGACGCTGCCTTATGATGCAACTGACCAAAGCCAAAGTGGAGGCATGTTCCCGGGGAGATTTCCTTGGCGGCAACTCGGCAATTCGCGCCAGCTGCTTATTCCTGCAGGTAATCCCGCTCCGCTGGCTGTTGCTGCAACTGGAACTGGAGGTGCTCCTCACCCGCTCTATCAGCTGCACTCGATCTCCCAGAGAGCCCGAGGCAAACTCCCGCTCCAGTAGTTCTGGGGTGCTCGCCTTGCTATCACATTTGGCTATGGCAGTGGCCAGGGAATTCCCCTCCAGCTGCTGCTGCAGTTGCTCCTGTTCCTGCTGATAACGCTGCAGAAGGTGCAGCTTTTTGTTCTTATAGGTGGCGGAGGAAGAGGACTGTGCTTCCTCCTCCTTCTTGACTTCCTTTTTGGGCACAGGCTTCTGATCTTCCTGCTTTAGCTCCTCGCGATTTTCCTGCTTTCCTGCCTCGCAACACATTGCACAACTGTGTGCCGGCAATGTTTTGGCCATGGGTATGGGACCCATTTCATAGGGCAGTTTCCTATAGTTCGTGCTACCGTAGTACGTGTAATAGTTCTCCTCTCCCGCATCCTGCCGCAGGAACACCCGATTCCATAGCTCTCCTCTCGGCAGCGATTCGAATGTGTATTGCATTTCCTGTAGCCTTTCGCTTTTGCTGCAATCGAAGAACAAATCCATCGCTGGTGGCGCAATCTTCGGTTGCTTGACCTTGTTTTTCGTGGGACTCGACGGCTTCTGGCTCTTTCCGCGACTTCTTCGCGGGGGCGAGGACTTGACTTCGGTGGTTAACTCTAGCTCTCCGGCACTTCGGTTTATGGTTAATCTGGACAGCCGCCTAGCGGCCCTCTGCTCTCGAGTATCCGTGGATTTTCGTGGTGCCGCCGAGGCTTTGCGATGACTGCTAGCTACGTAATCTTCATCGCTGCCCGAGGACAAACTGCTGTCGCCTAATTCGTTATCCAATAGGTCTTCCAGGTCTTCCAACTCCTCCTCCACTTCGATAACCTCCTTCTTGATTTTCATCTTGGGCTTTATTACTGACTCCCCCATCCGATCCTCCAGTTTATTGGCCATTTTCCGGCTGGTTGTCTGCCTGAGCTGCTGCTGCTGATGACTGCTGGCAGTGGCCGCTGTCACAATGGCCGTGGCCGTGCGACTGCTCTTCCTGGTGGCCACCACTTGCTCCTGCTTCATCTTGATCTTTAGCTGCGGCTGTGGCTGCGGTTGAGGCTCTTCCTCTGGCTGGATGGGGGCGCTCGGAAAGCGCTGCTGGTTGCTATTGCTGCTACTACTCCCGGTGGACAGTTGGCGCTGCAGCTGCTCCTGGGCAGCTGCTCCTCCTCCTCCTACTTTTCTCCGCCTTCCCACTGCCTGGGCTCGCTTGCGTATGTGGGAGATGGGTAATCCCGAAGATTCCTTCGTCTCCGCCTCGCTGGTGCTGGTGTCTAGGCTGGCGGAGGAGATGCTGTGCCTGCCCCGCACATCCGAGGTGGTTTGCCGATCCACATCCGTGGGCAGCTCACTGCTGCTCCGCGTCGTGGTAACCGCTGTTCTGGGGAACATAAAGTTCTCCGCCTCCCCGTTGAGTCGTTGCAACTCGGTTTGCCTGATCTTCTGGAACTTGACAATTAGCGATGGCGAATCCACTTGGTTGGGTGGTCTTCCTCTTCCTCTGGGAGGCGTGGCACATTCCTCCCTGGTTTCCACCACTTTGTAAAGTGATGAGGGTGGCAACATGGCTCTTATGGGTGGCGACAGACCAGAATTCTGCGTTTTCCTACGTCCTGTAGGCGTTGCCGCGGCTGTGGTTGGATGCTCCTGGCGCTGGAGCTCCGACAGGCTACCGGGTGGGTTTCCCAGTGCCTTCTTGCCACCCGGCGAAGGCGTTTGAGGCGAGGCAACTCCAGACGCTTGAAACTTTTCCGACGAATGCTTTCCCTTGGTTATCCTCTTGGATTTCTCGCGCAATGCTGGCGATGGCCTCTGGCGGGGACTCTGCAACTCCTCATTACTCAACGATTCATCCACATCCATGTCCAGTTCACTCTCTTCGGGCTCCTCCTCCAGGAACCGATTCACATTCGCTGAACTACGAATTAGCGTGTCTAGGGCCAGAAAATTCTTCGAATTCTTGGCAAACAGCTCGTGATCTTTGCTCTGCAAATGGATATTCAGGATATCGTACTCCAATTTGCAGATCTCACAAACTCCACCCTGTTTCTCACTCGAATCCTTGGGTTCGCGACAATTGGAACGCGGACTATTCGGTGGTATTGCCGACTGTTTTTTAAGCTGCTGCAGAGCTGGATGCTGGGGTGGCTTCTCTTTCTGGGATGTGCGTGAACCCAAAGACCTGCGGGTCATGCTCTGCTCCTTCTCCTTGGTCTTCGACTTGGTTAGTAGTCGAAAGGCGCCGTCGTCGCTGCTTAAGTCTATCTTTGGCCAGTCGTCTGGCTGCTTGATGAGATGATAGTAAGGTCTATAGTTTCGCTTGACGGATTCGATCTTCACATACTGCTTTTTTAGCTGAATGTGATGGGGACTGGTAGTCGATGATGCTCCTCCACCTTCCTTCTTGCCCTCAAGGTATTGCTTAAGCTCAGTCTGAATGCGTTTGATAAAGCGCTGGGCGTAATCCGTCTGCCAGATGGTATAGCTTCGCTTTACGGCAGTCGTTGGCGTGCTATTGCTACTCTGTGTCACTCCAACCGTGCTCCTGCGCACTCGACTCAGTATAGCATCCGCTCTAGATTGCCGCTGATTCGGTTTCCTGGCCGAACCATCATCCTGTTGATAGTGATTGGTGGGTGTGCTGGGTGTGCCTGGTGTTCCGGGTGTCCTGGGTGCTCCGCCACTGGCTTCTGGCTTGTCGGTGACAAAGTGTGTGATACTGTCGCTCAGGAAGAACTCGAGATGTCCACCCAAAGCCTTGATATCGGCCTCAATGCGCTTGGCTAGCTGATGGTCGCAGATGTCCAGGTAGAACTTAAAGTGGCACAGCGGTCGCTTGCTCTTGATGACCTTTACTTTTGGAGGAGTGCCTGCTGCTGCTGCTGCGGAAGTTGCTGCTGTTGTGTTGCTAGTTGTTGTTGCGAGTCTGCTGGCGCTTTGTTTGTCCGACTGCGGTTGCATACCTTCTGGCGCAAATTAGCTGCAGCCGAAGGACCCAGAATTAAAGAGAAAAAGAGAGAGAGTGGGGAAAACGCCATTAATTTCTTGGTTATCTTGGGAAATTGACCTACAGTCGAACTTCAAAAACAAATTGGGAATGCTTTAATGCTAAAAGGATTACATATACATTTTATCCTAACAACAAAAAATGTATTTAAAATTGTTTAAAAATATATAATTTTAAATTAATTTATGTACAAAACAAAAAATTAATTAGGAAAATGGAATATAACACAAAGTTATTTATGCATTACTATTTTTGCACTTTTAAAGCAATGGCGGAACGTGCAATATCATTTTCCCTCCAATTCTAGATGAACGGAGCCAGTTTAAAGTTGAAAATTAATTCAAGTTATTCGAGCTATTCGAAATTCGACTGTAGCTGGGAAACCGACACCAACCGCATTTACAACTTATTTGCCACGAAATAAATTAAATAAATCAGATTAAATCACTGCCTGGAAATCCTACTCCTGGTGGTGGTTCTTCTTCTTCTCGCTCCTTGTGGGCGTCGCGATGATGTGTTATGCAATTTGGCATTTGGATACACACAAATCAAATCAATAACTGCATTCGAATGCATTTCGGTATGTATTGCCTAAAAGGCCATCGAGTGTCGAGTGTGAGTTAATTTATTTTAATTCCAAACTAAAATGGGACCACAGAAACAACCCAAGCGGGTGGAAGAAGAAGAAGCAGCAGCTGTGCTACCGCAGCGAGTTGCCAGGTCGTCTGAAATCAGCCAGGTGTTGCCAGCATGCCGTAAAATTAGAGGTGACACAGCTGCTACATAAATTGAACTCGGCAATTGCACTCGATTGAAAACCAGTTGTATTTATGTATAATCCCCGAAAAACACATGTCAAAGCGTAATGATTAAAAAAAAAACAGTTGGTACTAAAATTGTCAGTCATAACATTCTATTTAGAATAGTCAATAATATTCAGTTTGTTTCTTTTTATTTAATTAATTTGGTCAAAAGGATTTCCAAAATCTCGGTTTAACCTAATTAAAATTAAAGTCACTCCTGTGCTCTACACATTTACGTATGTATGTGTTTAGCTTTTCTTATCAGTTTTGGTTTTGCGCAATTTATTGTTTATCGCATTCATATTTTTGTTTTGATTTTTTACGTCTACCAAAAACAATGCGAATGAGCTGACAAAGGCATAATGGGCGATGACCGATATTAAACTCAGATTTGCAATTAGTCCGGCAACCTTGCCGGGCTCACTCACCCACTCGTAAATACTTGTAAATAAGTTATCTGCCCAACAACCAATATGTGCGCTTGTACCGACGGGCGTTAATATAACCTGAAAAACGAGCACATCAGCACGCTGCGCTGGCACTTTTTCAGCCCCCCACTTTATATTCGCCATTACAACACGAAGCGATGGCGCAAAGTAAAACGAGGGAACCGAGTGGCAACCCTCAAGCGGCAGCAGCAGCAACAACAACAAAGGAAAATAAGAAAAAGAGGACGAGCACACAAAGCGTAAGGCGAAAAATAACACACGAAAAAAACGCAAAAGAGAGTAAGAGAGGGAGAGGGGAAACACACACACACAATTCATATAAACAGCATTGGTAAAATGTATAGCACTAACAAATTAAAAAATAATACAACTAAGTTTGCTAAAAGTTCTCATTCCCCTCTGTTTTTGTTATACATATTTAGTCCCCTATTTTCTTAATAATTTATTGTAATCAAGATATCAAAATGACCTACTAATGTGCCCACTGCTGTATGCGTATGTTTGTGGAAAAAATTCATGTGAAGTTGCGGATGAAGCTGACAATGCGGTGGAGGCCGAAAAACACACACGAACGCAGAAAAGCAGGCCCAGGGCAGCAACAACAACTATGACAAACAAGCAAAACACAAAAAAAACACAGTACAGTGGGCTCAAAAGAGCCATGTGTTTAGGATTTCCACAGAAAGTTATATATCCCACGGTACGTTCTCCTTGCAAATGCCGTTTCCATTCGATGCCGGCACGGTCTTTTCGATTATTCGTACATTTTCGGCCCGAATAGCTCTTGTTGTTGCAAACCACTGTGCCATGTGTATGTACATTTGTGTACATGGTGTGTTATTCACAATTTCCGAGTAATACTCGTTTTTATTTTTTCCACTGCAACGTATTTCTGGCTGTGCGGCTGCTCTTTTTCTCGCCTGCGCTTTGCACGCACGTTCGTTGTAGGGGGAAAATAAATAAAAATGGTGACGAATCGTTTGAAATTCAACCGAAAAGCCGCAACTAAAAACATTGTGCTTTGAAAAATAACAAACCAAAAACACACACACATGCCGCACTCACACTTGTACGGGTTGCTTACCTTTTAGAAATTCACGGAGTTGCTCGGCTGATATATTCCTATAGCCCAAATCATTTAGATACTGCAGAATGGCCCGTGCGTCCAGTGGCAAATGTGACATTTTACTTTTCGCCAAGTAGAGCAATTGTTTTTGGATTTTCGTATTGTTAATTTTTTGTTTATATTCCACCCTCACACATACACACGCGCGCGCACTCTCACACACGAACGCAAAATCGCCGTTCGTTTCGTTTCTCTTTCTCGTTTGTTTCGTACTCTTCTTCTTGCTATTCGTGTTCGTCTTCGTGCGCCGACAATCGACCAATTTTCACTGTACTTTTGCTCTGCGTTGGCCGTTTTTTGTTTTTTACTTGCATTTACTTGCGTCAAATTAATTAGTTGCAACGGCTAAATACACACAACTGTATTGGAACGATCGGTTGGAGCGTCTATGTGCTTAGTTCGCCCGTCGTTCCGTCGCTAACGCCTTTGTTTTTTATGCTTTTCAGCTGCTTTTCGCGGTCGGAGCGTCACCAATTCGATTGTGCACGCACAGTTCGAGTGTCGAAATTGGCCTTTTTCCTATTTTCACATATTTTCTCGCAAGTTTTATAACAATTTTCACCAATTGAAAATAAAGTGTACACGAACGGAGTAGCGCACACACGCTTGTCAAGCAAATTTTCGTCGAGTTATCGATAACGCTGCTGGCTGGCGATGGGCGATGGTTGCTAGGCGGCGTGCGTGAGGGGGTCACAGTATTGTTGGGTGAGGAAAGTCACGTCATTATAAAAAAAGGCTTAAAGTTAATTCTATTATTGTTTATACATTTTATTAATTTATTAATAATGATGTTAAAATATACATTTCAAAGAAATATTAAAAATCTTTCGGAATTTTTCAGTTTTCAAAAGTGACCTTCTCGCCCACGATAACTATCGGAATATATAGCGATATCGATAGCGACCCACCATCCCTACGCGAAAGGTTTTTGTCTGTTGCTTTGTGTGATTCTCGACTCTGTTCTGCGTCTGCGTCCCGTCTCGTGGCCGAAAATAAAGAAAGAAAGGCGAACGAACGTCGCGTTTCGTGCTCAATCGTAAATTCGAAGTGAAATAAAAATGTCTCGCAGTTCGTACCTGCTGTGTGTGCTCTTTTTAGGTGAGTGAACGAAAGTGGGGGAGAAAAAAAATGGTCAAGAGGAAACGAAATCGCATCGCGAGCAGATTTTTTAGAAATCCAACCCAACTTGATCTCGTTTCTTGCAGGCGCCAGTTGCTTGGTTTTCAGTGCGAGTGGAGCGCGGAATTATCGACGGGGCTACAAGACCACCGAGCCGCCCACCACGACCCCGCCCCCCAGTCGCCCAAGGAGTATCTGGACAGTCAGCCCGGGATCTCCACCTTCGGCATCATCGCGATCATCTTCACCGTTATCGTTCTCTGCCTGATCTTCTACTACGGCATCATTTGCTACCCCTTGCTGTGCCGCGACGAGAAGAAGTATCGGTTTATGGACGTATCCTCGACCATCACGGCGGCCACATCGCGTTCCATCCAGTCGATAGAGAACTATCCCGACCAGAAGCACCACACGTTGGCCTGAGTGGTCCAGACATCCGAAGGATCGTGGTTTAGTTGTACTTACATTTAGTAATTCGAAAAAGACTTGAATGCCAGCCAGAAACGAATATCTACAGATTTTAGATCCCAAGTCGCAACTGACAAGAAGTATCCCGAATTTACCTTAAATATCTCATTATCCCTTGAATACAGAAACGGGTTTTTTGTTTGGAAAATACCTTATCCTAAATAGGGTCGAAATTAGTACACACAAAAATGTGGGTTACTGTAAAAGAAATTCTTGATTTTTTTAAAAATTGAAGAATTTCATTTTGTAATTCAACAATACCTTAATGTTTCTTGTCAAATGCACTTAGGTCAATAGTACATAGCAATAACCAGTTGAGGAGTTCGCTGGAAAGGGAATTAATCATTCATAATTGTAAATTGGGTTTCCTACGCATCCCCGACAGTTTCTTTATCTGTTGCTTCTCTTAATCCCAGGCTCAACAAGTTTGGCCTGTCCTCCGAACCTTTTTCACCTGCCCCTCCTGCATCTTTGGCCTTCTTTACTTCTTTTTATGCAGGTAGTTTTGACCGTTTACACACCGCTTTGTTCCTCGCCCTTCTTTTCCTTTTTTTCTTTGGGCAAAGCCAAAGTGTGGCAATTGAGTCACGTTGCCTGCTTTTTTCTTACGAAATCTCACGGAATTTGGCAATCTTTTTATATACCGTCCCCTCGAAGCCCAATTTGCATACAGAATCGAATCGTACTAACAGACGAACTCTTTGTGATGCCTCGAATTTTCCCATACATTGCATATGCAAATCCCCGTCCCTTCAAACACAGGTTGTACTTAAAGCGAAACCAAGTACTTAATAAATATACCATGCCAATCATAGTATAAGCGCCAATCTGCCACCACGAATACATTTAAGCGATCTACAATTTGTGCATTTAGACCATACTTCCTTCTATACAATGTGTCAAAAGACGTTTTTAGACGTTACCTAGAATTAAGCCTATCAAATTTTATCTTTTTGGACATTTTTATGCGAATTTTTACATAAAATAAACGATTTTACCGCTGTGAAAATAACGGTGAAAATAAAATACAAAATCGAATGCAGTTTTGCGTTGGTATAGTACACTAATATAATAATTCATTTAATACCTGACTCATTCAAATTTCAATATAATTTGGAGAAAATGAAAAGACATTACTATGATTCATCTTTTAAAAACTACTCAACAACCCGTATGGTGAAATCTTCCCAAATTGTTCCAAATAAACCTCTTTATGCTAGTTAAGTTAGAACATGTTCAATATTTGCTTTCAAAAACAGATTTAAAGGGGAAATTATTGCATTGCATTGCAACGACGTGTTAAGTGTTCTACTCCCTTCGCTTTTCCAATTAACACTCTCCCGCAATTTACACATTTTGTTGCACAGTTTATTTATTTTACATACATAGTTCTTATGTTCGCTGGTTTCAATTCGTTTAGTTCTATGTGAGGATGGTAGAAAAGGCTAATAGATAATTATGAATTATTTATATTTAGATACGCTGGCTGACTAATGAATATCATTCAGAATGCAAGTGTTTAATAAGTGGAAATTTGAGCTTGGGCCGCACAGTCTTGGTCTCCGATCCGGACAGCCTTACAGCTCATCCTTGTCCAGATCGATGTCGCTCAGATCGATGTCCTCTTCGGTGGGCAGCTGGCCATCCTTGCCGTCCCAGGGATCCACAGACACAATCGCTGGCTTCTTGGCTCCACGAACGGGTGCCGTGTGTCCGCGTCCGTAGGAAATGTCGCGCAGGAACTCGTTGATGCCGTCCTTGGAGAAGGAACCCTTGAGCACCGAGAATTTCATCTTCTTGAAGTTGACCACCGCCATGGCGGGGTATCCAAAGCCTCCGACCTCGAGCGACTCCTCCAGGGCCAGCTGCTGGCCACCCTCTGACCAGGCCCAGCCCCACTGCTTCTGCTTGAACTTGTCGCCCAGCGTGCGCAGAGTGTCGAGGAACTTGTTGCGGCACTTGGCATCGCAGTCCAGGATGTGCGGCAGCACGGAGACAACGCACAGCGGCTTTCCCTCGCAGGCAGTGTCGAAGGTGGACTCATTGGTGATCTCAATCAGTTCGGGAGCCGGTACATTGGCCACATGCTTATCCCCAGCCCAGGATACGATGTCCGAGGCAGTGCGTCCGCCGTCATATTCCTGGGCATCGCTAGCGCGCTTCGAGCCCGCCGGGAAGAACTTAATGGTGGGATAACCGCGTACATTGTATTCGGCTGCCTTGCTCTGATGGGCGGTGGCATCGAGGGCGCCCAGCTTGACCTTGCCCTTCAGCTCCTTGGCGGCCTTGGCCCATTCGGGCGCCAGATTCTTGCAGTGACCGCACCAGGGGGCGAAGAACTCCACCAGCCAGATGTCGTCGGAGTTTAGCACCAGTTTGTCGAAGTTGTCTTCGGTAAGTTCGATGACCTCATCGCCGGATGAGCTGCTGCTGCTGCCGCCAGATGATCCGCCTCCCAGGACACCCTGAACCTTCTTCTTGACCTCCGCCAGAGCGGCTTCGGCAATGGCCTTGGCGGTGCGCTGGCCATTGTAGTCCGAGGGCGACTTCTTGTTGGCCCCAAAGATCTTGATGGTGGGAAAGCCACGTACACCGAACTGGCCGCTCAGCGTGCTGTCCGCATCGGCATTTACGGAGCCCACCTTGACGACTCCCTTGAGCGCCTTGGCCAGCTTCTTGTACTCGGGCACCAGACTCTGGCAATGGCCACACCACGGGGCATAGAACTCCACGATCCAGATGGCGTCGTCTCTCAGCACCTCGCGGTCGAAATTCGAGGGCGTCAGCTCCACAACGCCATCGGTGGGCGAGTAGAAGGCACTCACATTGCCCACGACAAAAGCCAGCAACAATATGCTCGCTGCGGGGGCGTTTTAAATATATGTGTGCATTTGTTAATAACATAATTTTGGTTATTTCTTTCATAAGGTAACTTACCCAGTTGCCTCATCTTTGTTGTTCTTTCGCTACCGCTTACGTGTCTATCTATACGGGGTTTATCTTGCGTACTTTTTAATCAACGCGGCTTGTCAGTCTCTTAGTCGGCTCTTCTTTGAGTAAATCAAGTGTACAGATGCGGCTTATATTTTGTTAAAAAAATAGAGAGTACACGTCACTATTCGGCGTACTCGCGATAGTTCGATGGACGTTTTAATGCCGTCGTGACTATCGATAGAACAACCGGCAGCCAGTCGCCTAATAGCTTGTTCACACAGGCATTTTCTCCATAAAGCCTAGTACTCACATCGACGAAAACTGTACGAAATTACCAAAATAAGATTTCCGAGGCGGAAAGAATAACAAACTTAGTCTTAGGCTGTGTTGTGCTGAAGGGGTGCGCCAATAACAAATCAAAAACGGTCGTAAAACCGCAAAAACGCACTGAAAAAAAAACATGCTGGAGTTGCGGCAACACATATGACCTGGAGGTCAACATTTTGAAACATTTTTCAAATTGGCGCCAATTGATGTGTTTTCCATTACAAGACTGTGAACTCTGAAAACTGCGGTCACACTACAAAACCGTATTAAATCGTAGTAAACCATAGTAAACCGTAGTAGACAACAGTAAAGCGAAGTAAATCGTAAAGAAAATTACAAAATGATCCAATTACAAAATGCTCCAGTCGCAAAATGCTCCAGTCTCAAAATGCTCCAGTCTCAAAATGCTCCAGTCTCAAAATGATCCAGTCACAAAATGCTCCAGTCTCAAAATGCTCCAGTCTCAAAATGCTCCAGTCTCAAAATGCTCCAGTCTCAAAATGCTCCAGTCTCAAAATGCTCCAGTCTCAAAATGCTCCAGTCTCAAAATGCTCCTGTCGCAGAATGCTCCAGTCTCAAAATGCTCCAGTCTCAAAATGCTCCAGTCTCAAAATGCTCCAGTCGCAGAATGCTCCAGTCGCAAAATGCTCCAGTCGCAAAATGCTCCAGTCGCAAAATGCTCCAGTCGCAGAATGCTCCAGTCGCAGAATGCTCCAGTCGCAAAATGCTCCAGTCTCAAAATGCTCCAGTCGCAGAATGCTCCAGTCGCAGAGTGCTCCAGTCGCAAAATGCTCCAGTCGCAGAATGCTCCAGTCTCAAATTGCTCCAGTCACAAAATGCTCCATTCTCAAAATGCTCCAGTCTCCAGTCTCCAAAATGCTCCAGTCTCAAAATGCTCCAGTCTCAAAATGCTCCAGTCTCAAAATGCTCCAGTCTCAAAATGCTCCAGTCTCAAAATGCTCCAGTCCCAAAATGCTCCAGTCTCAAAATGCTCCAGTCTCAAAATGCTCCAGTCTCAAAATGCTCCAGTCTCAAAATGCTCCAGTCTCAAAATGCTCCAGTCTCAAAATGCTCCAGTCTCAAAATGCTCCAGTCTCAAAATGCTCCAGTCTCAAAATGCTCCAGTCTCAAAATGCTCCAGTCTCAAAATGCTCCAATCTCAAAATGCTCCAGTCTCAAAATGCTCCAGTCTCAAAATGCTCCAGTCTCAAAATGCTCCAGTCTCAAAATGCTCCAGTCTCAAAATGCTCCAGTCTCAAAATGCTCCAGTCTCAAAATGCTCCTGTCTCAAAATGCTCCAGTCTCAAAATGCTCCAGTCTCAAAATGCTCCAGTCGCAGAATGCTCCAGTCGCAGAATGCTCCAGTCTCAAAATGCTCCAGTCTCAAAATGCTCCAGTCTCAAAATGCTCCAGTCGCAGAATGCTCCAGTCGCAGAATGCTCCAGTCGCAAAATGCTCCAGTCGCAGAATGCTCCAGTCTCAAATTGCTCCAGTCACAAAATGCCCCATTCTCAAAATGCTCCAGTCTCCAGTCTCCAAAATGCTCCAGTCTCAAAATGCTCCAATCTCAAAATGCTCCAGTCTCAAAATGCTCCAGTCTCAAAATGCTCCAGTCTCAAAATGCTCCAGTCTCAAAATGCTCCAGTCTCAAAATGCTCCAGTCTCAAAATGCTCCAGTCTCAAAATGCTCCAGTCTCAAAATGCTCCAGTCTCAAAATGCTCCAGTCTCAAAATGCTCCAGTCTCAAAATGCTCCAGTCTCAAAATGCTCCAGTCTCAAAATGCTCCAGTCGCAAAATGCTCCAGTCGCAAAATGCTCCAGTCGCAAAATGCTCCAGTCGCAAAATGCTCCAGTCGCAGAATGCTCCAGTCGCAGAATGCTCCAGTCGCAAAATGCTCCAGTCTCAAAATGCTCCAGTCGCAGAATGCTCCAGTCGCAGAATGCTCCAGTCGCAGA